TGCTGTCAGCTCAATTATAAAAGTTAGAATAGTACATATAGTTGGTTAAACATATTAATAACATGATTTCTGAGTATTTTTTGCGAGTCCATTACAGATAGCTGCACAGTTCCATAGAGAACAGATGTTCAATGATAAGTAATTATGTTACAGTAACATTGTGAATTGAATGAGTGTGGTTCAAAAATAAAAATGTTGGTACGTATATGGGTGTCTCTTGTATATCGCAATTTTTAAATGTTCAAATGTGATATTTTCGTTAAAGTTCAATCAATGAACATTAGTATGTGTGAATTTGATGGCTTCCCTGTGGTTATACACACGTGGTTGGTTCTTCCAATGACGGTCAATGCTATGTTCAAATGCTCGGACTGTTCGTGACATTACGACCTCCGATGGCAGGCCGTTCCATATATCCACGGTTCGATGAAGGAATGAATGTTTCCGGATATTCAGGCTTGTTCTTTGTTTGAATAGTTTGAGTTCGTGTCCTCTGGTGGTGGTGGTGGTGGTGGTGGTGTTCTTGTTAGGTGTGATGAAAGTCGACACCTCGGGATCATACTTCTCGGTCATGATTTTGTGTAGTTCTATCTGTCTCCTCTGGCTCTTCGATATGCCAATGTTGGTAATTTCAGGCGTTGCAGTCTCTCGGGGTAGGATAGATTAGTCATTCCGGGTATTAGCTTGGTAGCTCTCCTTTGTACATTTTCTATCAATTCTATCTGTTCAATGAGATGGGGGCTCCAGACTTGGTTGGCATACTCTAGATGTGGTCTCACGAGTCCTTTGTATAAAGCTGTGAATGTTGTCAGATCCATGTATTCCATAGTACGCCTTATTACACCCATTATAGAGTTGGCTTTGTTGATTTTTTCAGATATATGTACATTAAATGCTAATTTATTGTCAATGGTGACTCCAATATCTTTCTCATGTTCTGTTTAGGGAAGTTCCTTTCCATCATCTAGGTTGTAGGTGAAGTTGTCAATATCACTGTTGCCAATTCACATTGCTTTGCATTTGTCTGGGTGGAAAAATAGAAGCCACTTTTTGCTCCATGATTGAGCTTTCAGCAGGTCTTCCTGTAGGCCCTCGCAATCTTGGGTGTTAAATATAGCACGGTAGAATTGTGTGTCATCTGCGAAAAGGTATGTGTTGGTTTCCGTACTTGTTATATTCGGGAAGTCATTTATGTACAGGACAAATAGGACTGGTCCTAGGACGGATCCTTGTGGAATACCACTGCTCACCTCCTTCCAACATGACGTGTCTCCATTTATTGTTACGCGTTGTTTGCGATTCAGAAGAAAGGCCTTAATACAGCTCGTGATTTTACCCGTAAATCCGTACATGCTCATTTTATGGACGAGTCGGTGGGGAAGGACCTTGTCAAATGCTTTCATAAAGTCACAGTACAGCACATCAATGCACCCTCCTGCATCAAGAATTTTCATCCAGTGGTCAATTACTTGAATTGATTGTAATACGGTGGATCTTCCTTGGATAAACCCAAATTGTTTCTTGCTGAATAATTTATTGTTTCTCTTACAATCGTTTCTAATACTTTGCAACATATACGCGTTTAACTGATGGGTCTATAGTTACTGGCCGATTTTCGATCGCCCTTCTTGAAAATGACGGTGACACTTGCTTGTCTCCATTCTTCGGGAACGGTTCCATTGTGTATTGAAGTGTTAAATATAATTGACAATGGCAGACAAATAGCAGAGCTTAGTTCCTTTAGCACTCACGGGTGAAGGTTGTGTGGGCCTGGGGACTTTGATGTTTTGAGCTTTTCCAATGTTTTGAATACAATATTGGGGTTTATCATTATATTATCTATTGTTTCATCTGTTATACGGTCAATCTGGGGCATGTTCTCCTCTGTTTCATTCGTAAATACTGATGTGAAGAAATTGGCCAACACCTCAGCTTTTTCTTTGTCGGTTGTTGTGACTTGCTGATCTTGTCCGGTATATAAATCTGATACTTTGGTTCGTGTTTTGGTTTTAGATTGAACATAGTTCCAGAACTTTTTTAGGGTTGTTTTTAACTTCCATAGCGATTTGTTTTTCGTGAGATCTTGTTGCCTTTCTAGTCATTGTTCTTCCTTGGTTCCGTATATGGCAATATTCATTGTATAATTCTTCACTTCTTGTGTTTAAGTATCTAGTCCATAGCCGTTGTTTACGCTTTATTTTTGTAAGTGTTTTACTGTCTAGTGGGATCACCTGACGTTTTTTCTGATGGGCGTTGGTCGATCTTTTCTACACCACATCTCATTTCTCTAGTCTTAATAATAATACAGTAAGTATACTTACAGGTATTTCTAAACATTTTCTTCGGTTGGTTAATATGGATTGTGAAAAGATTCATGTGCCACAACCGTTAAATGTTTTGTGTTACGTTTCGATGACTAGTACTAGTACAACGTGTAGCCGAATCGAGTCATTTCGGTACATCTATAGTACCAACTAATTGTACATACGCTTAGAGCGTAGCCGTATCGACATCGATTTGCGAAGACAACTCGTACATATTTTACACATTTGAATACATAAAATTCACTGGTCATTTGTCTGATGTAGGTGACAATGTACATTCTATACTAGTCATCGAAACGTCACATATTAACACTAATTGGTTGTGCTACATTAATCTTTTCACAATATACACTTTCAGATTTGAACAGAGTAACCTACCTTAAAAGCTCCTATCCCAAAAAGTACAAACGAGAGGTTTCCGTCCATTTTGTTTGCATTATAAGAATATATACCCCTAAATCATCATTAAGTTAATGTAACATTATCAGTGCTTATGAGTATTTAGAGCTTCAATGAAGTTTGCTGAATCATTAGACTAATGAAATTTTGATAAAACAAAAAGGATAATTATTGCTTACTGAATCGGGTTCTGAGTAAATACCAAATAGCAGGATGTTTTAATAGACGTTTTCGGTCAACCAATAGATTTCATTTCAACAAATTTATTTTCAAATGGATTAGACAACAGGTAAGCCTATATAAGTCCTCTCCAATAGGTACCACATATTCACAAGCCAAAGCGAATAAAGTAAATAATAGATATCATAGCATAGGTCAACCAATAAATAAGGTAGTCAAGGTGGTTTTTTTGACAGCGGCGATACAATTGACGGTGTACAGAAATAATGATGGCGTAATTTATCAGGGTATAATAAAGATGTGTCCCAGGCCTTAGTTTCGTAGCTTTCCACTAGGGCTGCGCTCACAAATTTTCACTGTGAACCGGATCTTTGATGACCTACTTCTCTGTGACTGGAAAGATAGATTTATATATATACGTTTGCCATGCGATGATTGAAGTACTTGTATGCATGTTGTTCTGTTTTGTAGTGAGATCGTGCTTCCAGTAGTACCTTTTTCGCTACAGCACAGATACTGCAAAAACCGCCCAAGAACATTTTATACCGGGTTTTAGCCGCATTGTAGACATAATAAAACACTTTCTGAGAATATTTTATGCTGCGACAACTTTACGATCAAACCCCGGTCGTCTGTTTGGAAGACTGGTTTATGAACTGCTCGGCCAAATCTGACTATTTCCAAACCGCCCAGAATCTGTTATATGATAATCCCATGTGTACATGTGGCCATATGCATGTATACGAGTGCTCGGTTGGTGCAGTGGATAGCGCACTTGCCTTTCACCAAGGCGGCCGGGGTTCGACTCCCCGATCGGACGTGAAAAGGTTGGGGTCACCTGCCCAACCACGTGGGGGGTTTTCCGGGTACTCCGGTTTCCTCCCACACTAAGATTCTCACGAACTAACATCCGGGCCAACAAGAGTGATTTATATAAGTTGAAATAATTTGTTTCATAATTGTTGTAAAACAAATACAGTTTGTAAAAATGTATACATTTACCATCATATCACATTACAACTGCATAATCGTAACATGTTCAGATGGTATTCTTATAGGCTATGAATGCCCCGAGTCAATTGCTGACGTCATAATTGTTACGTTGGGCAGATGTCTGTCTTATTATTTGAACAAGGATGTAAGATAAATACATTATTTGAACTAAATGCTGAATAAAATAATGTAATTCAATTTTCGATGAGATAAATTATCTACAAAAAAGGTCAATATTATTTGCTTTAAACCGGCATGCATCATAGGCAATATGAATGCCAACTGAAAGCTGTTTAATGCTCAAAATGTCTTAGCGTCTACAACAAATTGCAAGAAAAATTCAAATATTGCAGAAAAATGTTCAGATGAATGGTATTGTTAAATCAATAATCTCCTTTGATGAAAAAGCTTATTTTACACCTTAATTTTTAAAAGTTTGTCAGTTGTGTGTCAATGGTTCATGTTATTATGTTGAATACTAATATATATTAAGGATCCTCCTACCATTAGCAAATACTGAAACTATGCAAAGCAAACGCATTTTTCTGGCATGGCTGTTGTTTTGATAAATCATTTGTGAAAAGAAAAGTATACCATACAGGACTTTTATGAAACAATAATAGAGACAAAATAAACAATTATTATTCAACAACAGCTTTCTACTTGTAAAACATCCCAGTCGGGCAAGACCTGGGTCCGTATTCATGAAAGCGTTTTCATGCTCAAGCATTATTAAGTGCTCAAACCAACTTTCTTGTAAGTCGCTTAAATCATGTCAAACGATCAAAACGTCAAATGTAATTATTTAAAACATTTTTTTCGGATTTAAGTCTCTCTTCAATGCTTTCCCAAAACATTGACAAACAAGATTTTCTTATAAATTTATAGCAGGAACAAGAAATTCGAAACTCGAGCACAAAATCCATACTTGAGCACGAGAACGGTTTCATGAATACGGGATCAGGAAACGAACCCTGGTGGTTGTGATATTGTTAAACTGTAGCTCAACCCGACTGAGCTACCTTGTCAACATGGACCATTCGCGCTACAGTTATATATAATACCAAATAAAGGGGAGGTAAATGTATATACGAAAATCAACAGTGCAGTGGGACATGGTTCCTTAATAAACTCGGCATTTATTCTATTTATAGCTACTACGACTACGCCTGCCCCAAGTGTCTGCGACCCAGGCTGGATCTCATCTCCAGAAAAGTGCTACTATGTGTCCACAACGGCCGAAAAAACGAACTGGAGTAGGGCAGTCGTGAGTTTTATTTATTTTCATTATTTAAATAACAACTGTTTTTTTTAGAAAAGGTTATATATTACGAAACAAGTGAATATTTTGCCTAATTCTCAATGGTAGAAATTTAGGGTTTATAAAATCTATTGACTGTAACTGAACAAGATCAGGTTTTCTCATTCGAGGGCTAAGATTCTGTAACCGTGGATGGGATGTTACAGAATCTGAGACTGAGACAGAGATACCCAATCTTACACAGTTACAGGTAATTGATTTTGTTTCTCGCACCTTTAAGATCGAAAAAAACCTATTCAATTTAGGGGCCTCAAATAAATATGGCTTCTACACAACTAAAGCTACATTTGAATGCATCCGCATAAAAATGTTGTCCGTCAGATGGAGATTTTTTTATCTACATCATCAGTTATCTATCAATATTACAACAATACATGTAACGACAGAACGGACGATTTATAATGCAAATTGTCAAAGTCAAGCCGTTAATGCGTGGATGAATACATCGTTATGTGGAAATTCCGCGAAATGTCACATAAAGGAATCTAGCACGGGGTGTAACTTGGGATATCTCCATCTGAGATGCGAGAAACAGTTATATAGTACAAAACCATCTAATGTTTTGCCTTTTTCCCCAATGGTTTTTTTTTCCGAGATCAGGATATTTATTACAAAAGAAATTATGTTTTGGCTGTTTCCCCAATAGTAACACGAGAAGTGATGACGTCGAATACTACGGTATTTGCATTCTAACTTCGGATTAACTGAAATTGCTCAGCGGTAAAATTGCAACGCCATGTTTTGTTTTGGGCAAAATCATTTTCTTCTTTTTATCAGAAATGAAAAAAAGATTGATTAACCATGGTCTTATTAGTATCGTCTGTGTTTTGGAAGAAAATTAGAAGTAATAAGTAGGATTGTTTATGGGGTAATACGTTTATATCGAAGGTGAAAAAGAAAAGTGTGTGTCCCTGTGCATAAACAGCTGAGTGGAATTAAAATAATCCCTAAAATAATCCTGGTTATTCTTCAAAATAATTCACTATAAAAATCCTTAAAACGAAGTAAAGTTGGAGGCGCCATTTTCTTATAAAATAATTTTGCTTCCGCGATCTTGCTAAAATTAATCACTTACGTAATGTTCTACACAGTGACAGGAACATTGGTTTTTGATTACAGACTTACCAACATTATTCCGACAGATATTTTCTTTCTTGATATATTGGTTTAGAAATAAAATTGGTATGAATAAATAAATGAAAGAAAAAAGGCGGGGCCAAAAAGAAAATCTTAACTTTTATTTCATTTCAATAGATATGTATTCAATTATTCAATAACTTAAAAAAGAATTGCATGCTAAAACACAAAAAAATCAAGGCCTTGGCAACATAAACATTACGCCGGTACAGTGTTATAAACACATAACGCATGACTTACACGACGTACATGTATGTCTTGATTTTTGTTTTTGCAGAAGACATTTGAATATTAAAGTCTCATATATACTATGAAATATGTTGAATGTGTGAATAATGTATGATGTCAATTTCAATGTTTTATAATAATTCTCTCAGGAGCGGTGCACCGCCAAGGGTTCGAACCTGGTTGAGATCCAAACAGACGAAGAAGCTTCATTCATATTGAGAAACATGCCGAGTGGTGTTGGTGAGTAGTAAACATTAATATCATTAGTTATTAAACCTCGTACATATTATAATTAATAATCTAAATCTGAATTTACTCATGAAATCAGAATTTAAATGTGACGTAATAAAAAAGCCATATGAGTGCTAGATTGCTGAAACTAGTAACAAACATGCTTTAACAAAGTGTGTAAGTAGGTAGCTATACAATTAATGTCAATGCATCCTGTACTTGATATATCAACACAAAATAGGATCTGTCTAATTCAAGAATGTCAAATGAAGATAATCACGTACTTTTAAAGCAGACAGTACAAGTTAAGAAGATTTGAGATATTGAAAAATAAATAATTATCATCATCATCATCATCATCATCATCATCATCATCATCATCATCATCATCATCATCATCATCATCATCATCAACACCATCATCAACACCATCATCATCATCATCATCATCATCATCATCATCATCATTATCATCATCATCATCATCATCATCATCATCATCATCATCATCATCATTTTGTCGTCGATCTTTTTAGACTCCTCTCCTAACATCAGGCGTTTTCACAAATGATGATGATGATGATGATGATGATGATGATGATGATGATGATGTAATGATGATGATGATGATGATTATGATGATGCTGATGACGATGACGACGACGATGACGATGCTGATTATTATTATTATTATAATAATCGTTCAAACTGTTTCGTTCAAATGTTTGTCATCATTATCATCATCATCATCATCATGATTTATTTAATGATGATGAAAATTTGAGGTCAAAACCCCATGCATAACTGCTGCTTTTGTTTGATGTATTGCAATATATTTCACTTAACACTTTCAGCCTAAACGTAATTATTTGTTGGTTATGATAGATGTCACTTCACACTTTCAGATAGCTCGGACATTATATATACGGGACGGAAGAGCAACAACAGAAATGAATGGGTTTTTGTCAGCAATGACAAGATGGTCGACACATCGGTGAGATCATGGGGTAGTGGGGAACCTGACGGTGGATCCCAGAAGTGCGGATGTACCCGGCAGTCAGACGATCTCGATATGCTGGATTGCTACTGTACCGGATATAACCTCTTCTATATCTGCGAGATTGTACGCTAGTCGTGATGAAACGGTATTCACTCAATTGCTGTCATAATTGTTTTGAAAATAAAATAAAATACCGAGTGCCTTTATTTTAATTCGAAATTGTTAGAACTAGGGCAAAATATGGACAACGGAAAAATCTTTATAGCGATCCTTGAAAAAGTATAATACGACCAGGTGTACCGGAAGGGTAAGCGTATTCTGATTCATCGACGGCACTTGCCATATAAATGTAGGCTAAATTTATCACAGAACCAGCAGTCTAGTTGTCATACGAGAAATAAAAACAAAATATTAAAATAAATCCCACCCACATACATTCATTTTTACATAATAATTATAATATTTGATTTTTGTTTTACCAATTTACTGTTTAACTATACATTTGAGGGACTACACAGTTCTCGTATTAGGCTATTATACTCTCAGTGGTGATCTCTAACTGACCCGAGGACACCATAATGTCCCAATCAAATGATACTGGCAGTGTCTACATGATTCCTATGTAAAACCTCGATATAGTGCCCCTCGTTTCATTTACCACCTCGTTTACCGCCAACATATTTTAAAGCCATTTTTCTGTTTTCTTAAGAATTCCTTAAGCAATGGATCACACCCATGTTAAATTCTTTTTCTCCCATACTCGAAATAAGCATGCCAGTGTTAATACATTAAATGCGTTCATAAGCTTGTATTCAATGGCAGGCGGGCATGAATACAATAATGTTAATTTCATACGGGTTATGAACACTGAACATAAAATCAGAAATCCATTTGAAGCACAAAGTTAATAGTTTTTTTTATTTGATGTCTTACAACTATAATGTACCAGTCAATATCACTTATAAGTACAAAAATATATCGTTGAGCAGTCAACACAACTTATCTTTTTCTAACGCCGACAATACAATCAAAGGTTAGAGTTCAAGTATGCAAATATGTGTCATGACGGCATGTAGGCTGTATTCTTCACTGGCGAATTCATGTCTTTCGTGATCAAGTATGGGATAACAATACGTCTCAAATATGGCTACAAGGGAATGTAATGCCTTGGAGCGGAAGCATGACTACAAACCATCACCGTGCGCATAAACTTATTGTCTCCTTCAAATTAATTGAAAACCTAATTGTAGACAAAACCGTAATCGAACACAAACTCATTGAAGGAATTATTTACATGGATAGCGTTGATAACAGGACCAGGTGCTCCGGAATATTAAACGTTCAGCTTTTTATCGACGACACCCGTCATTGAAATAAAGGGTAAAACTCGTAATAATGTCAAGTCCTCATAGTGAGAGTTGGAGTAGTGATAACAAAACTAAAAGGCACACTCATGAGCACATTAACGAACATCGACTACACATAGCACAAGGAAAGAGAAAATCCGTAACCCCGATATCATGATGGCAAACCCAACTTTGTACATAAACTTCATCAATACGTATCTCTAGATAAATATACGAATGATCATTAGGATGACATAAACCTAATAAAATGGCAACTAGGCCTGGTACCGTTCGAATCCTAACAGAGGAAACTACAGTTGAATTTGTATATCAAATATTTATCAAAGGTAAACAACAAAAATGCGTCTTAAGTATAACGTAGAGACAGGACTCCATTAGATTAATCTACATGATGGTCTAAAATAACCACATGGTGCTTTTAGGTACAATGTCAGCCAGTTTCATCGCAATTAACTTCAACAATAACCTATAACAACTAACCTACTTCATAACACAAAATGTTCGTGGGCACTTTTCTCCGTGGTTTGAAGTAATTTAGATAATTTCGTGGTACAGACTTTAACAGTTATTTAATATACACACGAAACAGTAAAGAGTATCATTCAAATTCGTTGTGGCTCTATAGCAACCATGAAAAACCACGAATGTTTAAACTCCGCGAAGATTTAATGTTATACAGTATCTTGAAACAATAGATAACACCCACAAATGATGCACTTGACAACAACTGGTAGGTATTTTCATCTATGTCGCGTAATGAAAAACCTCGAAATACTTGTCTTGGACGATGTACTGCACAACGGCTGCAATGGTTAAAACCAATCAATTATTATGATTGGCTAAATCCAATCAATGATGCTGACTGGTTGTATGCTAAATCCAATCAGTAATTGGCTAATGTCAATAAATGATGTTGATTAGTTAAGACAATCCATAACGACGATTCAACTTAAAATAGGAGGGCCATTCAATAAATTCTTCCTTCGCACAGCTCCCGTTCGAACGGGCAATTACATAGTTAAGCGCAGTGTGCAGACTTCAAGAGCATTTAAAGAACAATGCACTTGCAACATTTTGACATCATCTTACTAGAATTGAACAATCTATTCTGTGTTGAATGGTACGCATTCGGGACTAACGGCTACTTTTTGTGCTGAAATGAAGATTGAGTCAAAGTCTAATTACTGGGTCTACTATTTTGAAACCAAAAGGCACATTAGCACCGGGCTAATTCACGACAATGCTTCATCCCATAAAAGCAATATTGTACAGGTATTTTGAAGAAAGAGAATGTAATACAGATTGACTACCAACCCTGTTCACAAGATCAACGTCACTGTGAATTCTTTCTGGTTCATTTACTAACGAAAATGCCAAACTTTATACAACATACATGTGATTCCTGACACTAATGACAGAATTTATTGAATGGCACGCGTATTGAAAAAAAAATGCATGATACTTAATAATTAGAAAGACAAAAAAAGTAAACCACTTTTCGACAAAAAATAAGCATTGTCAACAAATGAACTAGTCCTAGGACTACAGAGATGCAAAACTTTGCAATACTAGCAAATATGTTTATACAAGAGTGCGTCAAAATAACACACGTGTTACAATGTATGATTTTAAAATAAATCAGCCCAATCTATAATACATCCTTGAGAATAAACCGAGCGGTTCCCGAAATTCGTCATCGAATTCATTCGCAGTAAAGTATTGTTTATCACGATAAACGTGTTTGTCAAAATAACTTTCAGCACAAGACATAGTTAGCCCTTGAGAATTGAACTGCACGCTCTTCCGAAATTCTCCGTAGAGTTCAGCCGATGTGAGGCGCGATTGTGTTACCTTCATTTCATATCAAATGTATGCGTAACAATGGTGTTACAATAATAATAATGATTATAATATACAACATTTGAAACAGTGTCCTATCTAGATAGAATAAGCCACTAAAGCGCTTTACACTACATAGATATAAATATACAATCAATACAATTAACATATACATTAATCAATACAATTTGAGGAATTCGCAGGAGCTGCCTTATCAGGCGCTAACTACTAGTCATGTACAACCTGGCTAATATCTCCCTATATGTGTATGCCTGTGTGTGTGCTGGAGGTGTATTGTGTATTGTTTTTAAGAATTCGCCCGGTAGATAACGGCAATAAAAAATGGACTCCGGTTAAGTGAAAGATATTGACGATCTTTATTCTAGAAACAAAGACCTGAAATTGCCAATCCATGAACGTAAGGTATCTCTCACCTCTGGTGTTCTGAAACAATAAATGAAAGGATTGAAAGCCGAGTTCAGACACGATAGGGTTGTTAACACGTGTCGTGTTGTCCGGCTTGTTTAACAAATCCTAAGTTCAGCGGGGTAACACAGAGGACAAAGATAGTAATAATCATTGTGATGGTTACGGTGCTTTTCGTTTCCGCGGTCATCTTAGCACTGTGGTTCTCCTGAGTACGATCAACTTGAACGCATTGATTTACTGAACGCAATACCTGCATGTTTGTTGGTACAACTTGTTGCAATTTACGTCTATGTCGCTGCAAGATCACAATCATCAATGTGCAACTTGCTATGGTAAAACATTCTATACAAATGGCAAACACGCCAGCTATAGTGCTGAACAAATCGAAATTATTGCAAAATATAGTGTCAAGCTTACAAATAATGTTATGCTGTTGTGGGTTACCAAGGCCAAAGAACGTGAAACATGTTAACACTAGTGTTAGTAGAACCATACTCCCGATGATCTTAAATAGTCTGTATTCGTATTTTGATGTGAACCTCCATGACGGTTTTAGAAGTAAGCAAACTCTGTCAATGCAAATAACGCTTACTTGACCAACAGAGTTTAAGTAGGCGAGCGTAAAGAACATCATTCTTGCGTGACAAGACCAATAACTGATTTTAACATTAGGTTTGATAAATGTTATTAGAATTGGAAACAAGGAGACTCCAGCTAGAATGTCTGTTATTCCCAAACTGACAAGATGCATATTCCGGAAGTTGTTGTTCTTAATTTTAGTAAATACGACAGCGATGATAGCCGGGATGTTCACCAAAATAGTGAGGACGCCGACAAGTATCACATTTGATGTGATCCAGGCCGGTGCTGTATCAGTGTCCGTGTTGTCTGCGCTGTGGGCGCTCGAATTCGTTGAAATGTCGCACTGTGTCGCCATCTGTAGAATGAACAAGAAAAAAGACGTCAGAAATCATCAAGAACATTATATGCAAACGTCAGTTGATGAAATAAGTTGAATATGTGTTCCTAGTTGTTTTCAGACATTCAATAAAAACAAATGTGGTGTTCCATATGTGTCAATTCATGCATTCGTTTTAAATATTCATTTCGTCTGATTTTCCCCAACTATTTTGTATCGTGCTTTTCCTGTAAATAAATTTTCTGGTATTAAAAACGGATGCTAAAATAATTTATTTCAATATACATCATATAGGTTTTACCTGTGTCATGGCATGTACAATACATTCATAGATAAATAACCACATACCTGTATTACCTTCTAGTAAATAAAGTCGAACGGATAGCGTGAGCAATGGAATTAGTTTGACTATGAATATAAGCTTTGCAATGGGCAGACTCTGTCTTACTATCTTAGGAGGCACGGTAGTGTAGTTGTAGGACGCCGGGCTCGTGACCGAAGGGTTGCGGGTTCGAGTCACGGCACGGCACTGTCTTGTATCTTTGAGCAAGATACTTTACTCTGCTTGTTTCAGTCTACTGAGCCTTAAATGGGCATGTGGTTGGGAAGTGCTAGAATTCTAGAATGCTAGCTGTGAGCGCCATAATG